TGGTCCTAGGTGCAGTGGATGACTTTCTAGCTCTAATCTCCTTTAATAGCCTCAGCTTTAGCAATGACAGTTATTTGCTGGATTCTGGCATGATGGATAGGTGCCCAGCTATACATCTCCTGTGATTGGCACTCGGCTACATTGTTAGATCTTTCCTAGTCTTACCTCTGTTCACATATGGGGCTCTTCTAATGTCTGATATCTTCTCCAGGCTTGAGATAATAAGGCTGGCCCTGTTTGATCTTTGCATTGGAAGCTGAAAGAAAGTGGCACATTAAAACAGAATGGCAAGGGAAGCTTGGTAGAAACATAGATGTACCTTGGATGGGATTCAAACAGAAACTTCTTTTGGCTGACATTTAACTTGGCAAACTAATGTCAGACTCATGTTGCTTTTCATCTTAAAGAAGCACGTTAGGAGGATAAAAGCAACGAGTCCTGTTTATTTCCGTTCATCTGCTTTCCTCCAAACCCTTCTTTTCAAACCCTTCTTCTTACTTTGCCTTAAAGCCGTGCTGCTTGCGCTTCTGCAACTGCTGCCAGGGTTTTATTTTATTCATTTAGCCAGCAAGGCAAGTTGGCAAATTCCCAGGAGGTAAATAGCGAAAGGTTGCTTTCTCTTCTGAAAGGTTTTCCTGTTGTTATTGTCATGTGCTTGTCCATTAGTGGTGCAACAAAAATAGAGAGAACCATTCCACTGGGAGCTTCCAGATCGTTCAAAGAGTTATCCAAGAACTCTATTAAAGAAACACCCTGTTTTTTTCTTCCAGATGTTGCCCCCACTTTTACTCATCCTCCAGCCGATATCACTGTGACTGAAGGGATGACTGCGGTATTAAGATGCGATGTTTCTGGAGCCCCAAAGCCTGCAATTGCTTGGAGGAGAGGTACTTTTTTATTTCTTTTTGGGCAATCACTCCAATTTTCTGCTCAGAGGACTGAAGCTATTTTTTCCATGCTGTGTTTCAGAGCACCAGATTTTGGCCAGTGGCTCTGTCCAGATCCCCAGGTTCCTGCTCCTTGAGTCTGGAGGACTCCAAATATCCCCGGTCTTCCTTCAAGATGCTGGAAACTATACCTGCTGTGCCGTCAACTCTGAAGGAGTCCTTAATGCCTCTGCTGCTCTTACTGTTTGGAGTAAGGATCATGTTTGAGTCAAACACTAGCATTGACCAAGGCCTTGTCTACTTCAGCTGGTTACCCTTGGGAAACCAGTTTCCAAAATGCCTCTTTGTGGGTGGTAGGCTTGGTTGATCAAGAAAAAAGTGGTTCTAAACTCTTTTCATATATAAGGGGCGCTGGTGGTTCGATTTTCAAATTATTTCTGAAATTTTCTTTAAAAAAAGATTGGAAATACCAGGAAATACGAATCGCTTCCTTTGTTTCGTTAATGGAAGGTGCTCCTCCCTCCCTCCAGAACCATTAAAATCTCACAGTTTCCCTTCCTTCCTTTGCGGCGAGCTTCTCTCACCTTTCCTTCCCTTCTTGGCAAGCTGTCAGTCATGCAGAAGGGAGAGGTGGGCGTGGCCAAGCACAGCGCTCCTTGGAGTTCGCTTGGGTGTGGCTTTCAGAAACAGCTGTTCTTACCCACCCTCACCTCCTTCCTCTTTGCATCAGCGGCTTTGCGAGGTGGGCTTTGTGATGTGGGCGTGGCTACGCCCAGCTCTTCCGCATCACCGCTTGTCACCAGGGAGGTAGCCACACCCACCTCGCAAAGCCCACCTCGCAAAGCCGCTGATGCAAAGAGGAAGGAGGTGGGCGTGGGTAAGAACAGCTGTTCCTGAAGGCCACGCTCCCAGCATTTACGATTCACTGCCAGAAGTCGTAAGGAAGATGGTGGATGCGGCTTCGATATGGCAAAAGCACTTCCGGGTTGCCAAAACGCATCAATACCGCTTCTAAAGGTGTTTTATTTACGATTTAATAACGATATTAGAAATTAACGAGCTGGATCAACCAAGCCTAGTGGGTGGGTGAGTCGATGGGAGGTCATTGAATAATTGAGTAGGAATTGTGTATGTAGCTTCTAGATTTCATTTAAATCACTGGTTTTCCAAACATTTAAGACATTGTTCAAATTTGAGTAGGGTGAGTAGCATTGATGGGGTTGACCATGCAACTTTCCCAAACTCAAGTTTAGTTGCCATCATCCGAAAGACCTTTATGAGATGCAAGGATATTTGAAAAGGAGCTGCTTGCTCTTCCACGTCAGTGAAACGTGGGTGGAGGTGTCCTGTCAAAGTTCTATTCTGAATAGGTGATCTTTGAAAAGTTATTTAATTCAATCGCACACTGTTACTGCAGCAGTTCAGATGACACTATTATATAACCTGAAGAGCAGAAATATTCGGCACTCTTGGACGTGGTGCTTAATGGGATCTGATGTTCACACTGAGCACTTGACTCTTGTTCCTTGTCAAGATATCTCTCCAAGCATTGTGGCCTATTATTGCTTCTGAGGAATGGGACTTTGTTCCTCTTTTCCATTTACCTTCCTTTTTTACACTTGGATTTGGCTGATGTACTCTGCAGCCGTTTCCTTTCTGTGAAATCTTTTGTGTCTACTTGCTCAGTGACCTTCATTTCCTGAGCACTTTTGAATGATGGGACTTTATAATGATGTTTAGGGTGAATGTCACCTCTTGAGTTTGTGGGGTTTTATGAAATATTTTATGAGATAAGTCTCTGCAGCTCAATGGCACAGCACATGCATTGCATACAAAGGGCCCTGGTACAAACCATGACATTCCCAGATAGGGTTTGGAAGGATGCCTATTAGAAATTCTGGTGAACATAAGATAGGTAA